TCATTCCATACATCGTCCAAAACTAGTAGATATTTTTTTCCATTAATTTCTTGGCGAAGTTTTTCTTGCAATTTATCAATTCCAAGGTTTTCAGGCTCTTTAGAGGTTTCGGATTTTATGATCTGTTCTACAATTACTTTCATACTAAAATCATTGGAGACACACACCCACATTTTTAATTCAAATTTTTTTTTTTACATCATCGTCATTGTACACAGATTGAGCAAGTGTGGTCTTTCCTATCCCTCCAATCCCAACTATGGAAATGACTGAAACATTTTCAACATCATCTTCGTCCCTCAATAAATATTGTTTAATTTCATTTCTATCGTGATCCCTCCCAATAACCTTTTCTTCACATACAAAAGAATATGTTTCCCTCTCTGTACGCCCGACTCTCTTTTCCTGACGATGCTCACTAAGGTGAAACTTTCTATCATTCTTGATCTCTTTTAGTTTCTCCCTAATGGTCTTAATTTTACGAGCCATCATATAACTATATGCAATGTGATTCGATTTGGAGAAGAAAATACGTACCTCTTTCGCAATTGTACACCCACTCATCACCTCTCTTTGCTTAAGTTCAGTTGAGAAATCATCCAACAGGTCATCAGCTTCATAAAATGCATCCTTGAGCTTTTGAAGCCAAACTATCACCTCTTGATTCTTCTTGTTTTGTTCCTCTTCAGCATCTGAAAGCACAGCTCTGATGGTGCTGATGGTCTCTTTGAGTTTATCGAACTCCTCTTTGACACCACATGCTAATCCAATTTCTTTGATAGCTAAGGATCCCAAAACCTGCAAAAGTTTGCCCGCAGTGTTAAACAAAAGCCCCGTCGCCATTGCTAGCTTCTGAAAATCGTTTTGAAGGGGACAAATTAATGAATGATGGTTCTAAGACGACTCAGATTGTGTGCGGTCATGGAACATTAACAATTTTCAGATTTATAAGAGAGGGGGATTCATGCATGGCTTTAAGTAAAGAATATTAAACACATACTTGAGAGCGAAGTAAAGATTACATGTACTAGGCGGAAGAAAGATGATTCCTGATATCAATTTTACATTTGTTCTATTCCATCCTTTTCTTTTCGTAAGAAGAAACAAAATTCCATCATTTTCTTGGAAACAACTCCGGCTTTATCATATGAACCCTTAAATTACCTATAAAAATACAAATTTCTGGGCAATATTAGAGTGTTGAGGTCACAATACCTCCATTTTTAACTCTTGAATTACCTCTCAAAAAGTGTTTGTTATGATACTGGGTCTGGTAACATTAGCAAGACGATATATAGGTTATAATTTTTAACAGTTTCATTATGTTTAACCATGTTTGAATTATCATGTATGGTACTTCAACTATCAATTATATGTGTAGCTACTATATATAAGATGGTTGACACTTAAAACCTTATATGAACCCTTGAATTAATGACCTTCTAAAAGAGTTGTTATGTAGCTCGTTTAATGTCATTGTCCCACAAGTCTATAATATCACAATAGTCCTTTAGGTTGTTTGGCCTCCCATACTTTCTATAATTTGAGAAACTTTAGACGATGGGGTGACACCTCATAAATTAATCAGCTGTATGTATATATATCTGGGCCACCTTATGAGTAGTGATGGCAATGGGCTGCGCCGGGATCGGGTACCCGTTGGCCCAGGCCTATGCCCAAACCCCACCTCATGACAAAGGCTCAAGCCCGGCCCGGGCCCGTCACGGGTATAATAGATAAAGCCCAAACCCGGCTCGATGGGCTTTTAAATATTAATTTATTTTTGAATACTCATCAAATGGGATGAGATTAGGGTTTAGGAAAAATGGGTATATATATATAGGAAAATCTTATAATTAAATATATAGTATAAAGATAATTTAGGAAAATTAATACTAAAATTATCGGGTTGGGTCTTAAAATCATGCCTAAGCCCAAGCCCAAGCTCGCGAACACAAGGTAAAGTCTGAATTTTTCGGGTCAGGTATCAGAAAATATCGTGCCCATTGTCATCTCTACTTACGCATACCTCAATTAATTTTCTGAGACCCTGAAGTTAATGATAAGATAAATTTATTTAATGGTCATCTCTATTAGGGTTTGTAGGAATTCAAACTCAAAAATCCATATTAAATTTATTTGCTCTTCTACCATTGTATACCCAATGATGGATACATAACTTAAAGTTTCTTTAACGAATTGTTTGGCCAGTAGTAGCTTGACCAACCCTTGGTCTAGAAGAAGGTAGCCCAATTGCCAGCTCAGCAACAAGAGCAAAACAAAATCCACCGAACAGAATGGATGAGTCCTTAAATCATGGAGATAGTACCTGATTGAAGAATCTAGTTTGAGTAACTATAACACAAAAGTTAAGGTAAAAAGTTTCAGTATTGGTTATTCAATATTCATTTCAAAAAATAAATAGTTGAATGTAATAGGTCATATGAATGATGTTCTGTCGGTAGCTTTAGCTACCGTTTAGTTCTTTCCAAACAAGATTTGCTTAAATAGCATAAGTAAAAACACAATCCGCTTAAATGGCATAGTAAAAATACCAAATTTGTATGGTCAGCAAAAGACGGCGACATACGTGGAGCTGACTCCAGTTTCCACTTCTCAAATTTCTGGTGTGAGGGTGACCCTCTTACCTTTACATAGTCTTCTCTTTCTTGTATTGGCTGATCCCATCATGAGGCAAACTCTGCTTGAAGCAGGTTAGTTTTCCAAATTTTCAGGTAAATTAAGTTTTAGTCACTCTCTATTGACCTTAGCGTCTGTATCTTTTGTCTGAAATTCATGACCTTTTAAACAAATTCTTGGGTTCTGCTTGGTTGCTGAGAAAACACTAGAAACCAAAACTAAAGAAGAAAAAAAATGAAAAATTGATGTGATTTATGCAACTGGGTAATCGTAAAGATTGTGTCTTTTAGCTGAAAGTTTGATTTGTTTAAAGCAAAATCATGGGTTCTGCTTGGTTGCCAAGAAAATACTGGAGAATGAAAAAAAAGGTGAAGATTTTGTGTAATTTTGTATCTGGGTTGTTGTCAAGATTGGTTTGGAGTTAAATTTAGTCTGTGTTGTGTGAAATTTGCGTAGTAGAAGTATTGGCTTTTGTTGACTGGCAGCTAGAAAGTAATAGGTTTTAGTTAGAGTTTATGGAGAGACTAGAGTGGCTGAGAAATTTAACATAATTGTTGTTTCAGAATCAGGGAAGTGTTTTTCTTCACATAGTATTATATTTTCTAAAACTCTTTTTTACTATTCTTATTGACCCATAAATGAATTTCTGTTTGATTTAGAATTTGATTGTGTATCTGGGAGTTGAGTTGTTCTTCAATATTGGATTTTGAGGCAGATAAAGGGTTAAACTTACTATATAGTCTGGATGGTTTTATGGATATTTATCTTCCCAGTTTGTTCTCAGCTTATCTTGAGTTTCTCTGATGTTGATTTGTTAGTAATTAGCTCTTATTTTATGGGAAGTTGACTTACACTAATTAAAACATCACTTAATTGTTTGAATAGTTTACTTCTGGTTTTGGTTTCACTTGTCTACTATTGTTCTACCCGTTCCACTGACTGAAGTTGTTGCGTCTAATCATTTTTAAGACTTTTAGTTTGATAATCTTTTTGAATTTGGAAAGCATCTGTGGTACATAGAGTGATTTGCTTATGATAATAGCAGTTCTGATGTGCAGACTAGATCTATCGTTTATTGTTTTTGATTGTGATCTCATGATTATTGATCTGTATTAGGCGACAGAATGGAGGAGGGATTGCCGGAGGCAGAGCCTTCTGTTTCAACATGGGACAGAATTTCCAACTTAAAGACAATGGCTTGGGAAGCATACAAAAGAAAGCCGATATCTCATTGGATTCTTTTGGCATTGAGCAGTGCAGCAATGCTTGTGGCTTTTCCTGCTTCAAGCCTTCTATCTCGAGTCTACTACAATAATGGCGGCACAAGCAAGTGGATCATTTCGTGGGTGGCGGTGGCTGGATGGCCTTTGACTGCTTTAATCTTACTGCCTACATATTTCTTTCTCAAAACTTATCCCACTCCTCTGGACTTGAAACTCACTCTTTCTTACATTGTTCTGGGTTTCTTGAGTGCTGCTGATAATCTCATGTATGCATATGCCTACGCCTACCTTCCGGCATCAACTGCTGCTCTTATAGCATCATCATCCCTGGTTTTTTCTGCGCTATTTGGATATGCCATTGTGAATAATAAACTGAATGCTTCAATGATAAATGCTCTTGTGATAATCACTGCTGCTATGACCATAATTGCATTGGATTCAGATTCTGATAGATACAGCAATGTCACTGACAAACAATACATCATGGGGTTTGTCTGGGATATCCTGGGATCAGCCCTTCACGGGCTCATTTTTGCTCTTTCGGAGCTTGTATTTGTGAGGTTATTAGGCAGGAGGTCGTTCCATGTTGTATTGGAGCAACAGGTCATGGTTTCTTTATTTGCCTTTGTGTTTACCACCATTGGAATGGTTGTGAGCAAGGATTTTCAGGGGATGAAATCTGAGGCCAAAACATTTGAAGGCGGTGCCAGTGCATATTACCAGGTTCTCATATGGGGTGCAGTCACTTTCCAGTTGGGGATATTGGGAAGCACTGCTGTACTTTTCTTGGCTTCCACTGTAATGGCTGGTGTTCTCAATGCAGTAAGGGTGCCTATCACCAGCATTGCCGCTGTTATACTGTTACACGATCCCATGAGCGGATTCAAGATCCTCTCACTGATTATTACCTTCTGGGGATTTGCTTCCTACATCTATGGCAGTTCTTCAGTGAGTAAATATTCACCCTCATAGTACATTAATAGTCAATTGATTCTTTCTTCTTCCTGTTTTATGAATCTGTATCATGTGGCCTTTCGTACATAAAGACTCAGGTTACCAATTATGTCTTGATCTTATGCTACAATAAGAGGCATAAATGTATGTAGTCTCAATGAAATATTGTACCAATATGTTTCAGAGAAACGATATTTGATTAAACATTTAGAATAAACGGATTTTAGATTGTTTCTATTGCTTTGAGCATCTTTAATAGTAAAAGTCTTCATGGAATAAGCGCATATATGCATGGATGTCATATCAAAGCGCTATGACCTGCATACAGGATACGTGATGTGATGGTATATTGGTATACTAAAATTTGATTTGTTAGAATTAAAGCAAACCTTTTGACATGATTGAGATAACTGAAGTCTGAAGATGGAAAAATTGGACTATCATTTTCCAAGCTCATTATGCTTGAAAGAGATTTAAACAGAGGCAAATTCACGCAAAAATATTCCTTTTATGTGATCAACCTGCAGAAACATCAGGCTGTTCCTGTCGAAATGGTATCCTAATGACACACTTTAAATTGAGATGTCAGAAATGTGTTTAAAATTGAAAGGAAACTGATAGAATCTAAGGTAGGCCTGACTTTTCATCCAATAACATCTTATTGAATGGGAGAATTACCCCCTCTTATAAATCAATAAACTTGAGCATGCTTAGTCGATATGTGACTCCAATACTCCCCCTCACGGTCAAGTCCATATGTTGGATCATACCTATTGATGGAAGTAGTTGCTGACTCTAACCCCTCACCCGCTAGTCAAACACTCAGTTCAACTAGGCTTAACTCTGATACCATAATAGAATTTGAGGTGAGTTTGACTCCTCATCCAATGAGTCTCACCCAATGAGACCTTATTGGGTGAGGAGTCAAGCCCACCTCAAATTCTATCATGGTATTAGAATTAAACCCAGTTAAACTGAGTGTTTGACCATTGGGTGAAGAGTCAGACCCACCTCAAATCCTATCAGAAACAAACGAGATACCAGAAGCCTTAAATTGATACACAAAACTCAAACAGCCAACAAAGAGAAGGGTGTAATAGAATAATAAAATATATATAAATCCATCACGTTGTCAACATAAATTCCCTTCATCATGAGATTTGGCAACGCCTATTCTCTTTCCATTTTGTTCATCACAAACCTGAAGAGTTGTAATAAACAGCTAAAATACTATCTTAATAGAAGTTTGTTGTACTCATGGATAGAACAAACTCATGGATATTAGATAATCGTTAGCAACATATGTAGAGTTCTCTTTCCATCAGCTATGGCTAATGCCATAGCATCATATTTAATATTCTTACTTCGGACCAATGTCCTTAAGGGCGCAGATCTGCTCCTCTCCCATTGCAGACATAACAGACACCACAAGGTCCTTTCCTTCAGCAAACCCATCTTTAATCTACAAAAGGGGAGAAAAAGTAAATATGAATTTCAAATGGAAAGACAACAAAGAAGAACTCACAAAGTATAAAACATGCTACAAAATACCTGGCTAAGCAGGTTATCATCAGTGGGAAGCCTTAAATCATCCTTGGTGTTCCCGTTTTCAGTAAGAAGACTCACCTACAAGGCACTCAACTCTATTAGTTAATCAATAAGTTTGGCAGAATACAAAGAAAGGTGAAGCTGTCTTCGCTTTGAAATTATAAATTATATTAGTGCAAAGTTTTGAGCAAAATTTGCGGAAATAAATTGCATACACATGCTTTAACACTCCCCAAGGAAACTTTTTTCTTGAGCTTCTCCACGGAGATTCATATATTCCTTCATATCATGAGTAAATGTAAATGCACATAAAATGGAATTTCCCCTATATAGTTCACAGTGATGAAAGTAATATTTACATATAAATTTGAAAAGGGCATTAACAGGAAGAATTAACTAAAATTTAAAATAGGAATTTCAATAATAATTAGCAGTAACAGATGAAGGCACAAACTTCTACTGTTAAAACAGAAAGAATCTCTCAAGTTCATAATTTGGTATTGATCAATAGAATAACTTACAAAACCATCTTCAGAAATATCGATCAACTGATAGTCGGTACGATTAACATGAGGAACCTGTGAAAACAGTCATAAAAATAAATAACACAAACAAACAAATGAGTTCCGTGGAAAATTACAAAGAAGAAGAAACAGAAGAAACGGGATTGACATTACATCACAGTTATGGGATGAAGGAACAATATCTTCAAGCTTCTTCCCGGTAAAGATATCAATTCCCACGAAGTGGCACTTTGCATGTCCATGCTTTCCTGTCTTCGAAGTGGAAACTTCAACCACCTAAATTAAAAAAATAAATAAATAAATAAGGAGAAAAAGATAAATAAACAGATTTCGATATATAAGTAACTTGAATAGATGTCCTCTAAAACTGCTCGCTACCCTCCTGGTATTTGTGGTCCTCCTAAAGTTACAAGGCCTTTTGCCAAGTTCCTTCGACAAGATCCTCTTGAACACCCTAGCCTACTTCTTCACTTATGTCAGTACAGAGTACAGTCAATTCATGATAAGGATCTCCCTCCCAGATCAAAGTTTTTTTTCTTCTAAAAAGTCTTAACCTTTTCCACTCTAAAAACAACCATGAGTACAAACCAATTTCTACCCAACTTCGTGTACTAGTGTTGTCAAAAACACTTCATTACTGCAGTCTCTCACAAAAAAGATAGAGCAAACTAATTACAAAAAACAGTTCAACTATGAATTAACAACCAATAAAGCCAAAAAAAATAAAAAAATAAAAAATAAAGTCAAACTTGTGCATTGTATGAATCCTCATACTTGAAAGCAACAGAACAAAATCACAAAGTTTGGACTTTTATAAGAGCTGGTAGTCCCCATTAAGTTTCAATTACAACCGCTAAAATTACAAAAACACAGACATCTACTTGTTTAGTTTAATTATATAAAATTTTTCACACGCAAAGACCTTTCACAGAAATTCTAATTCATAACACAAACCAACCAAGCAAATCTAAGAATTGCACCAAATCAACACCAATTCTCATTCAAAGTTCTAAACTTTACTGGTAAAATTAACCCAAAAACTGAAAAATACACAATTATCATAAAAAATAAAAAACAACCCACCAAAGATCTGAGAAAAACAAAACAAACCCAGATGAAAATCCATGAAAAGCAACCTAAAAAACCAAAATCACAGCCAAAAAAAAAAATGGAAAAATAAAAAAGAGATAAGACCTTGCAAGGACGGTTCTTGATGACAATATAACCATTCTTACGGATGGTTCCAGCTTGTTGAGGGTAAGTTTTGGAGGCTCCAGCATCAGCCTTTGATTCGAAGTGGTGCTCCTCGTCAGACATGGTTGAGTTGAGAGTTCTTCTTCTTCTTCTTGTTTGTTCACTGAATTTGAGTTTTTGTTTTTTATGTGAGTTTAAGGAGGCCGTGTTTCTGGGATGTCACATGCTCTTATTATTATTATTTTCTTTTTTCTTTTTTGTTTTTATCTTTAAATTATTATTATTATTATTGTTTTTTTTTTTTTTTTTAAGAGAAAAAGAGTTTGAGATGTTTAAGTTTCTTTTTAACCATGGTTAGGTTAACCACGGTTAACGTTATACACTAGAATGAATAGTCTATCTATTCTATTCATAATAACAAACACTATAAAGGCAAAATTTTATAATTTTCGATTCAAAAGCTCTTAATAAATTTTTACCTTTTATTGTTAATATCATTGGTAGTTAATATTTATTTTTTGACATTATTAGCATCGATAAATATAAAAGTTTCGATTTAAAAAAAAAAATACGATTTTTTTAATGTATTACAAAAAAATATTTATAAGTAAGGGTGTGTACTGTGTAGTAAACATGGTTTTTATTCGATTAGATTAATTTTAACCCAACTCAAATTAATAATAAATTGGTCAAGCCATTTTAATTATGTTACTAAACCAAACCAAGTTAAATCGGGTTGGTTTGATTTTGATTAAATTTGATTTTGATTAATTAGTTTGATTTAATTTTATAGGTAAATTATAGGTCGATTTGAAAGATTTTCTCCATCAATCAAATAATTCTAATATATTGATTAAAATAATAATAATAACAAATAAATAAATAAAAAAGCTAATAAATTCTAGTAATTTTCATGGCTTATATATTTTTTATTTTCATGTTATTATTGACGAAGCATCGGATGCTTAACATAGATAAGAGGGTTTTAATATTGTTCTAAGAATTATACTTTTATTCTTATTCTTAAATTGGAAAGTGGTTGTATGAAACTATTTTTTTAAACTTTTTATTAAATAAAAAAAAAAGTTTCAATTTCAAAGATGCACTTAAACAAGAAAATCTCACTACTATTATTCGATGAAAATGAAATTTTAACAACACGTAATATAAAATCTGTAATATGAAGTATCATACTTATAATATTAAACGTTAACTTTACAGTATTCTTTGATAAATATTTTGAGAGGCAAGGTCTTGTGAAATAAATGGTATGATACTATGAATTTCCGTTTCTCGTATATTCTTATTTTATCAAAATAATATGGGTCTGTTTGGTTCTTTATTTTCTACCTTATTCCCAAAATAACTGTTTGTTTCATTATTTAGGAAATACTATTATATTATATTTAATTAATTTTAGACCTCTTAAGTTTATTAATTTAATTAAACACCCCCAGTAAAAAGTTTAAAAATTAACAAAAATACCCTCGCCCACCCATAGTTGCCAGATTCCTGCAACCACCGTTGGTGGTGGCCGGAATCTATCACAACGACGTAAAAATGATCGAAACTGACCGATAATTCGCCGATCTGGGGCAGATCTATGGCCAGATCTGGCCGTAGATTTGTCCTTTTTTGGCTAGATCAACGCACAACAAGCCAGATCCGACTGGTCTGCGTCGTAATGCCAGATTTCGGCGGTGGTGTTTTTATCATTTTACAAAATTTGTATATATTGGAGTGTTTAGTTAAATTAACAAACTTAGGGGTTTTTTATTAATTTTTAAATTTTACCTCGTAATAACCACTCTACTTAACTATCCAATACTATTTTCAAAATTCTATCTAAAATAACAAACCAAACGGAATCTTTCATTTGTATCCTTGAATCATAGAAATGTTACTCTTAATACCGTGAATAACAAAACCATTTAATAAGGAATACAATTGTAAATAGAAATATAATTATGA